ATTATTCGGCAACTATGTAGTTTCTGCCGAATAATAAATTTATTGGGCAGACGAATCATAATAAGCTGCCGGATAAAGCAGGTTTATTGAACATACAAGTCATCTTTCAAGATAATTATTTTAACAAATTTTTTTTTGCAGTATTCATTAATTCGTGTTAAAATATGATTCATTTTTTATAGCGCTTTTGACCCTGATAATCATAAATTACCTAATTTTGGCGGGGGGTTTTTTTTTGCTATTAATCTAATTATCTTGATTCAGTGTCTAACACTATGCAAAAGTTGGCTTTAGGATTTGCCGAATAACGTTGGAAGTTTCAGACTTTTTTCTACTATTTATAAGGAATTAATAATTTGCAAACCAGCTTTTATACAGTAAAACTATCTACATTCAATTAAAAGGCTAAAAAATATTTTACTTAAACACCCGGAAATAAATTTAATACATTGAAAGTAATCATGCCAATATTGAGAAAAATTCACTCAACGTTTGAAAAAATATAGCTACTACGTATTAGAAATTTTGATAATAACTGTGTTAGAGTTTATTTTTCATACGTTAAACCCGATTAAAATTAGCTTTAGAATATGAAAAATAAATCAGGATCCAAACTTTAAACTGGTTATAAAATTAAATGATGTCATTTTTAACCAATCACAAGTTATACAATGCATGAAATCTGATGGAAACGCTATAAGGAAAAATTGATTAAAGATTAAATTATAATAACGAGTTGACGTTCTCCAAAATTTTGATTCTGATTAAATGTTGTAATCAAGTAATTTGCACGATACACTCTTATTGTATACGAGATAAACAGTAAGATTGTATGTCACAACTAACTATCATGTCAGATGACTATTAATAACGATAATGGATTTGGACTCAAATTTATTAACGTGTGTGCTATATAATACACATATAGATTTCGTGATATTAAAAAGAAAATAAATTGCATGTATGCCAATAACTGCTTAATATATAAATCAAAAATTTTCCTATTTATAATACGTAATAAAATCCAATAAACTGTTACTAGAGGTGTAGGCGAATCATCCCAATGATGCCCCAATGATGTTACGGCTTAAGCTGTAACTAGCTTAAGCCTATGCCGTAACTAGTTACGGCAATAATTGGGACGATTCGCCTGCATCTCTAATTGTTACATTAAAGAATTTCATAAAGATCTAATTAAATAGTATTCCAAAAAAATTCTTTAGTTAACTTCAAACTCAGTATGTGGTATACTTATTACGTGAGTGGTTGATATTTATTCCGACTTATGGTTTTACGTATAAAAAAGCCACCTGCTAATACTGTAATACCAAGAAAGAGTCCTATAATTAAACCATCAAAAAATCTATTTGGACATTTATCATCAATACTTTTCGTTGGATCTTCACCCTGAGTTTAAAATATTCGTAAGAAATTTTTTAATCTAAAATTATGCATAGATGTCAACCAAAAATAAAATTACCGAATAGTCCATTAATACTTCATCGTGAGATAGTCGGAAATTATAATAACGAAAATTGCTAATTTTTGAAAAGATAAGAGATTATTTAAATTCTAAATCAATAAATTTTGATTGATTAAATTCACTTTTACCTAATATGACCATTAAATCCATTAGCTTCATTTACAATAGGTTGTTTTCCAATATATAATGGTCCGTAATTGAATATGAAAGATTGATTTTGAACATCTTGGATATTGTAAGATCCTATCCATTTACTATCTATATAGAAATTCATTCGTTTTTCGGAGTCTGAAAGCGTGTATGCTATATGATACCATCGGTTAAGTAGGAATTCATAGCCGTAAAAATTAACTCCACCATCAATAACACCATTAACCGTGAAACGTGGAGCTGGCATTGAGTTAAACGATGATAGCCATAATGCAGGTGTATGACTGGAATCCACTATAGCTGAATATAAAAAATTTTTAATATAATTGAAGGATTTTTTAATATGCAATTAATAGTCAAATGTAGATACCTTTATAAAAAACAGTGCGCCATGAACTAGATGAACTAGGAGGTGCGTGGCTCAAAAGATTTATTTTTAACGTAATCGATAACTCATCTTTTACAACTGGTAACTCAGAATGGTTAATAACTCGATTATATTCGGGTGTGAATAAAACTGGTTCTGTTATTAATTCATGGTATGTTCTTTGTTCATGTCTCCTACAAAAAACTGGAATTGAAGTAATGACGATTATTATCACTAAATAATGGAAATAGTAGTAATTCATTTTCATCTGTTAATTCTCGTATGTAAAAATAACTTTTCTTGAAAAATTATTTTGCAATTTTAATAAATGCGCTGTATATATGTACATATATACTGTATATATACTGTATATATATGCGTACGTGCGGAGAAGGAAACAATCAATTCTTTTTAGAACAAACGGGTAACTAAAGATAAGCCAATTTGCCATACTTATTTATTTCAGTAGTATATATATGAATAGTCGTACAATACAATTTTCTTGGCGTATTTTTCTATACAAAAGGATTGATATTTAAAAGTTTTCTGTGCTTTATTAAGGATGATAATCTGGGAAATAAATTAATTATTTCTGTGTCACCGTACCGCATCACTAGTACGTACGGTGCAGGAAACATAAAAACATCAATAACTTTATATAGAATAAGGTTAACTAACTCGTTTATTGAGATCGATAATTTAGGAAGTTTATTTTCGATATACTACTAGTTTATGCACTGTGGGGGGCATTGCCAAGAAATGTTCGGAACGGAGTTGATTTTCCGAACAGGGTTTATGTTTGTACTGTTTCATAACAACGTTTGTGCGGGATGCAAACATAAAAAATTTTTGGTTGAAATTATCGTATAAAAAACGTATAAAAAACGCATTCATCCAATAAACATCCTTTAAATGTTCGAAACGGAGTCGATTTTCCGAACGAAAGATCGAATAATTTCAGAATTTTGCGAACAATTCCAAGTGATTTTTTTTTATAGGATAGAATATTGAGGTTTTTAAATTTCCTGCACCGTACGTTAGGGTATTCAATAAACTAATTTAATCAAAACATAGTTAGGGTCATTAAGTTCGGATTTTTAAAGGGTTATTTCACATATAAATTTATATATGAATTTGTACTAATTTAGGTACATTTTTCTACACAACTAAC